TCGCGCCAGTATCCAATGATGCCTGGCAGGGTGGAAACTCCAGGTCCACAAAAGGGAGATTATTCTCCAAACAAGCCTCCAAAACCTTCTCTGCACTCCTCTCATCCCCAACAATTGCCTTAATCTGAGCCACTTCACGTTGAATGGCGTCCTCAGCAACTTCTTGACGGCGTTGATGGTATTCCTCCGACAAAGGAACCGCGCGGAGCTTGCTTGTGAAACCATTCACCCTGCCCTTAATGAACATTTCCGTTTCTCCGGGGTAAACAAAGACCTCAGCCACATGCTCACCATCGGACCGAGTATGAATTTTCGTATTTCCAAGTGCCTCTAGCACGGAGTTCTTACCAAAGATGAACCGCACGTGCATTTCATAATGGCGAGTATCATTGTAAAAGGCCCAAGTTTTTTCTTCGCGGTTCAAAATGCGGTACAACAAATTGGGCTCATCAAAACAGGAAAGATACTCACCTTGATAGTCCGGCTCGCCATTTTTAAATTTGGGCACCCCGAAGCCCTCTTCCTCCTCATAGACTGGGCGCAATGCTGTTGCCATCTCAAATTCATCGTCACTGTCTTCACGCAAATCGTACTCAATAGGATCCCAACGAATTGGTTTCTTAAACGGCGTTTTCCTTGGCTTGACGAGATGATGAACTTCCTGTGTGTGAGGTGGAAATTCGTCTTCATTGCTTTCCTTGTTCTCCCCACGCACAACACCTTCTTCCACTGGCACCTCACGCTTATTTACTTCCTCATTGCGAGGCTCCTCTTCAGGATAAGTATTTGGTTCTTCTGCGGGATACTCCTCTTCCGGAGTGTGGGGCCTGGGTTCCTGTACTTCTTGGTCACAAAATTCCGGTTGGTTATCGGCTTCAGCCTTCTCCACTGGGTATTCAGATGTCTCTTGGATTTCGCCTACTTCACCATTGGCTTTGTCAGCGTCGGGGTGGCTCCCGTCTTGGAGATCATTGCCAATTTCCGCTGAAGCCTCCTTATTTCGGTGGGGTAAATCTTCAAGTTCTTCCCACTGATTCTCGGCAGACATCTCAGCAAAACGACAACAATTAAAGCCAATATATATATATACCCTAAAAAAAAAAAAAAAAAGTAAAAAAAGGGTTATGGATATTGATAAAAGAGACAGACCTCCGCAAATAATAATAATAATAATATAAAAAAAATCTCAATAAAGCCAAATATTCCATTAATTCTTTCATTACTAAAGCGGGAAAGAAAATCATTTCTTCGTTGTCCATCCCCTCTCAATACCACTTGGCAAAATCACCATAAAAAAATGAAGAAAATAGGAGAAAAAATAGGCAATTAATAACGATAAAAACGCAAGAACAAAGCAAAAAGAAAAAGAAAAGACAAAAAATGAGAATTTAACTTTGAATTCACCCCTCATAATCCTCTGTCTCAAAATTGCATTGAAAATTGCAGTACGCCAAACCACAACGGAGCAAAACATTATTTTTTCGTAAAGCACATGTTTTTTTTTTTTTTCCATGTATCCATGTTCATTAATAATTACATCCAATTAAAACTCTATTATTATTATTATTATTATTATTATTATTATTATTATTATTTCTTC